CCATATTGACACAGATCAAGTCTATCTGCCAAAATGGCATTCATTTCCTTCCTTCCATTTTCGAAGGACAGTTCTTGCTCAACAAGTCTGTAATCCACAGCAGCTGGCAAGGTTACCGAGACACCAGACAGTGGATCAGCAGGCAGCAGTCACAGCTGCCCATCTAAGTGAGACATTAAGTAAATAAATGAAAGAAAAAATGAGTAAATATCAACATTGTTGAAAAACACCTTGAAAATGCACCCCCACACACACACACACAGAGCATTAAGAAAACGAGTTCTTCTCTTTAAAAGACTAAATGTCTACCCTTCGTTCTCCATTAATACTGTTGATCCATTGTCTTTTCTGCCATTACTTAAAGTCAAACAGACAGGTTTATAATGCATTGCCAGTTCTTTTCTATTCTACTAGTGAATATGCAGCCATCTGCCTCCAATCAATGATGGGGCACATGGAGATGGAGCAATGAGATATTTTTAAATTATGAATTAATTAATATTTTTAAATTAATTAATTCATCCCAAGGACTTGGCGTTTGGAGTATTGCAGGGTGAGGGGCGGACAGAGGGAAGGAGAGCAAGCTTACAATCCTGGTAAATAAAGAGATTTGCCATAATCTGGATTCTAAAACCCTTTCTATGAAGCATCCTGTCTGCCCCCAACAAGCTGTTAAGGGCATGAAAGCAAAAATTGCAAGGAAGATGATGTCTGGCTTTTGTTATTTTTTGGAATTATTTTTCCAGACTGTGAGGACAAGTTCTTAAAATGCAAACAAAACTAAAATTTTACCTTGAGAATGATGTCTATGATTGCTAGAGGATTTTAAATTATTAGTGCTTTATTAGATTAAAATAATTATAGCAGGTGACTGAAATAAAGAGGAGATTTGGTTCATTCTGAGAGGCAAGCCAGTCCATTGGGAAAGAAAATTCGATATGGAGAACAATTTAGTTTTCCTGTAAAAGGAAGAAAACAGACATGTGGGCATTGTGTGGGTACAGCCATGAGGGAAATGTCAGAAGGGAATTTTCATTGAATTCAACCTGTGTTGAGCTTCAGACTGTGAAAGAGATTTGCAATTCTGGAACTGTAGGATTTATGGCATACTGACCCAGAAATCTCACACTTGGCTGTTAAATGTTGCTTATTTTCGAAGCCAAAGTGTCATCTCTAGAGGACTTCTCCTTGTCTTACACATCCCTCAAAACTAAAGCCAAACAGAAGACATCTAATTGTGTTGCATAAAAGAGGAAAAGAAGCAACCATTGATATTAATGTGCAGACATGTGTTTTGGTTTTTAATAACCTGGTGTTTACACTTTGCAAGTTTCATTTGGATTTAGAAATTATTTCTTGAGAATTAAGCTTTCGATTGCTCACAAGAGACTGTCTTGGTAAACATGAAATGGCTTTCTTATAGCTCTACTAATATCTGTTTTACCCAAGGAGACCAATTTCTATATTTCTAAAATGAGAAATGAAATCCCAGTACAGCCTGAGGCATACAATATGGAAACCCCTCTAGAACTGAAGCCCCATGTCCTCTACTCACCCCCGAAATAAGCCCACTCCATGGGCTCTTCCCCCAGCTGACCTCAACTTCATTCCCCAGGGAAAAAGGGAGAAAGCAACTGTTACATTTTGTTTTCTTTTGCTTCAAATAATAAATTCAGGGGTCTCCTCCACCAGGGTCTTTGCTATCAGCAGTTTTCTGTTTCACTTGCTCTCTGAGTCAAACTGAAACCCAAGCCCTCGAGACTGTCTTTTGCCCTGACCCCTTGGCTCCTGGGAGCTGATCAGAAGACAGATCGCGTTGAGTCTCTGATATATGTAGTGACCTAGCTGTCCCCCACTCCTAAGAATGTATTTCTAAAATGCCTGTCTCTTCAGCATCTGAACACTCCACTGTGACCCAGTCAATAAAGGACTTGAGCCTGTCTGCCACCAACTACTTGTAATCTCTTTGCAATTTGGGTCAGGGACCTAAAAGCCATCTCAGTAATTCTAACCATGACAGGGGACTCAGGGAGAAAAAAAAAAAAGTTAAACTATCAAATTAGACCATGCTATGTAGGAAAGCACTTCTTAGTGCCATCAAAGAGTCCAAAGAGTCACTGTTAGTTTTTATAGACACTAGATGCTAAAAAAAAAAAAATCTCAATTCCAAATAATCAGAAAACTTGAATTACCAGACAGTGGTGAGGATGTTCCCCAAAAGATAAGTGCAAGTTATAAAAAGAACATTCTAAAAGACAACTCACAGGACATGCATGCCAAAGATTTGATAGAAAGCCAATAATTAGCACAGCCATGCCTACAAACTCCTTAAGGAAAACATTTGAAGATAATATTCCAGATGATAACTCCAAAGCTCTGCCACATCCTAGAATCTTCCTGGAAAGATGGCATTATATTCCATATAGTTTTATTCTATTTTCTTTGGACTACCTACTTCATAGAGTTATTAGAAGAATCAAACACGATGATGTACATGAATGATCTTTGAAAGTGGAGTGATAAACATTAGATGTCATTGGCTAATAAGTCTTTAAAATTTAGTAATCAACTTATGTTGTTGATGGCAACTACATCAACACCTAAGCGTTAAATTCCCCATGCATTCCGGGTTAGAGTTGAACTGAAAATACATACATTGAAAGCGTATAATTATATCGCTATTTTCGCCTCCTTCTCAGCAATGTGTGTTTCAAGGAAATAGCTTTAATATTGTTAGAGGGCAAAAGCTAACAAAGGAGACCAGCCCAGGGATTCTTCCTGAATTTTCCTTTACAAATGCATTAACCAAATGTATCAGGAGGAGGAAAGAATTGCATCACTCCTCATGAACAATTTAGTACTGAAAGTCCTCTGCTGGAACCAACCTTCTATAAGCCAGCTCCCGGTCTGTTTATATCTGTGTCCCCCTCCCCCACCCCCAGAGATCCTAGGGTGTATGTTCTAACATGAAGGACTCAGGAAATGCTCCTAGAATAAAGCAGAAGGACTTTGAGAATGTCTCCTGCCTATCAGTTACTGCTCTTAAATAACAATGGATCATAGATATTTCTACATTTGTTTCCCAGAGCCTTTCCGATTATTTTTTCAATTCTTTCACTTCTTACATACAAGTACCTTTAGCCAATCTTTTCTTAAATACACACAATGCATAAAGATAACATTTGTTATATATCATTTTTTAATGCTAAAAATCTCTTCTGCTCTATATTTAATGTACAATCATTTGGCAGCTCTCATAGGAGAGCTGACATAGGAGAGATAATCACCCTTAGTTTGGGGAGTTTTGTTGTTACCTTAACCTCTATCTCTTCTATCTGGCCATCAAAACTAGAAGAGAGCAGGATTCAGAAGACTACCATCACCCACCTACTACCAATATCATCCCAGGTATCTTCCAACCTGACCTTTAGAAGCAGGGGTAAGTCTAAAGGGCCCCTGGAGGCAGCCAGAAATACCTTCACAGCTTTTCTAATATGAAAACCTTTTAAATTAAACATGGGGAGGCACTGATGTTGAATGATACAGGCTCTTAATATTTAATTCAAGAAATATATTTTAGTACGAGATCCACCCTTCTTGTACACAGGTGTCTTTCCAAAGCATCTTTTTAGCAAAATAATAATGATGAGGAAGATGACAATAAGAAGAAGGAGGAGAAGGAGGAGGAGGAGGAGGAGGAGGAGAAGTCATCTATGCTGTTATACCTTTAGAAAAAAAAAAAGAAAGAAAGAAAAAACGTCATGCCGTGCAAGATGCCAGACCCCTTTGGAAGAACTCCAAAGGACAGAAAAAGGGTGAATTCCTTCCCCTGGACACCGACCGACAGTTTTAGAAATATTTTCTTTTCATTGGAGTCTAGAGATCTGTCTTTGGACACCAGCTTTTCACTTCTGCTTAGAGATCCATTGCCCAAAATGAGATTGCCAAGTTGGTTAGATTTATTACAGAAACTCTGAAAAGGACCAGCACCAATGTCTTTTCCACTTGGGTCCAAAGGAGCCCCTGATATTTTCTTTTTACATAATATGGATCCAGTGATCTCTTGCAAGTGGCTGGTACCATTTTTTTTTTAAATTAATCCAAGGGCTGAGTTCCCCAACTAGTCTTTTTATTCCCACTTGGACTCCAGCAAACCTCAAAAGTTTCCTGGGAGATAAAGATTCAAGACCCTTCCTTTGACGTGTAGTTAACAGGCCCTTCTGTCCCTTGCAGCCCCATCTCTCTCACAGGAAAGACAACTGCCCTTATTTATCACTGGAAGCTTCCTCCAGGCACATGTAGCCTCAAGAGACAAGGGGAGACTCCAGGGCTGCAGGCAGAATAGAAAAACCAACATTGATCCGGAGAGAGTCTGGGGACTCCTGCTCTGCCCCAAACCACAGGTTTTCCCGCCTTCCCCGGGAATCACCCAAATCTTTCCACTCTTCCTTAGAGCTGGCCAGGGAGATTCCGGTATCCAGAGACAAGGAGTGATCCGAGGGGTCCCAGCACCTCCGCCGAGACTGCAAATCTGGAGTTCAAGGCCGCGCGCGCTGATCCTCGCCCCGCCCCGGTCCCAGTCCGGGCTCATTCATTCCGGCTGGTCCCCACCTTCCAGCCCCCGTCGCGCTCCCCAGTGGCGTTCGTCGGCTGCCTGTCCAGCCAGTGTCTGCTCACACCGCGGCCGACCACTCATTGTTTTTAAATCTCAAAAGTAACCCCAAGAGAATTTTTTCTTCTTACTTTTTCACACCTCCATCATATCTTATCCCTTTTAATTAAAACCACCCTCTGTCCCAGGCTTCCTCAAAGCGTTAAGCAGCAAGCTCCACGAAAGAAAATCAACCCCCTCCCCATCATCCCACCTACAGCCAAGCCACAGCTCAGCCACCATCTCAGAGGCCCGGCGCTGATATCTCTCGGTCCCCATCCCTGATAGGGGGGCACCACCCCGCGAGCGGCTCCCACTTCCCTTCCAGGATAGAGAAAGGCCCTCTCACCCTTCAGTGGATGCCATGGTCTGGGGAACGCCCCCTCCTCTTCAGCACAGTCCGGCAGCAGCTAGCGAGGGAGCGAGCCGGCGCTGGGGTGAGCGCGTGTGTGCGGGGGAGCGGTATTTAAGGGGGAGCCTCTCTCCGCCCTTCCACCCCCCTCCCGGGTAAGCCCTTTAGCGCCTCGACGCGCGCTGGAGGCTCCTGCGGGCGCTAATCCACGTCCTAGCTCTCCACTGCGCGCGTCCCGCGCTCCCCTACGCAGGTTGCAGTAGCGCTTGGCTGGGCGCTGGGGGGTTTGGAGGGTTCGGAGAATGGTTTCCCAAAGACAGCGCTGTCCCGGGGGCTACCGGAGCGCGCGCAACAACGCTGCGCCCCCGCCGCCGCCGCTACCACCTGTGCTTTGCTGCGGGGCAGGCTGGCGTGCCGAGTGGCGGGCACGGAGAGTGGTGGCAGGGGGGAGGACAGAGAATGTCTGTACGGGGGAGTGTGTGCGTGCGTGTGCGCGTGTGCCGGTGTGTGCGCGCCGGGGCAGGTGGTAGAGGCCTCGGCGCCCTGGCTCGGCGCCTGCCGGGGAGGGATCGCAAGGTTTAGCCCCTCCGGAGCTGAGGATTTACAGGCGATCCCTCTCTATTTTCGTCGAAAGCTGACATCACCGCGCCGCAGCCTGGAGCGACTCCTTTAACCGCCACCCCCAGCCCCCATCTCGAGACGCGGTCCCTCCTCTGCCATCCCGCCCCTTAGCCTCTCGCCATAAATTAGCCAAATAAGAAAAGAAGCCCGCCGGTCATCCGGAAGGCTTGGGCAGCCCGTGGCAGGAGCCCAGAATCTAAGGAGTAGCTATTGTTTCCCCTCAAGTCCTCGTGGCCCCAAGTCACCCCAAGCTGGGCGAAGCGCCGGCGGCAGCACAGAGACCCGGGATGCCCCTCCGTCCCCAATCCCTGGAGCAGCCTCGACGCTCACCCTCACTCGCTGATACATCTCTGTTCCAGCTCACACTCGACCCCAAATCACCCTCCACCGGCGAGCACACCCACCCTCATCCTCCCACGTCTGCGGTATGGAGCCTCACAGAACTCCAACTGCGCAAACCCGCACGCTGCGCGACCGAAACACTGCCCCGCTTCGCGCCTTCCCCAGCTGGGGCCCGCATAAATCTCTGGGCTTTAATTATTCATCAAGATTAATATTAATACAGCTCCCTGAGGGCGAAGGGCGGGGTGAAGGGAAAGCTATAGTTTTGTTGTTGTTGTTGTTTGTTTGTTTGTTTTAACCGAAAAAGGTCGGCCTGGGGCGGGGGGGGGGGGGCGCAGGCTAGAAAGGCGCGGAGAGATTGTCGTGGCTAGATGCTGGGGACGTGCCTCCACCCCCTCGACTCTGCACTCAGTCGGCTTCTGAGCCCGGGGGAGGCGCGCAGAGACAGATGGGCTCGCTCAAGGGAGGGTCCAAGCCTCCTGGCCGGCTTTGCATAATAATGAGGAGACCCGTGCAGCTTTTATTATCTCTGGGACAGGGACACAGCACTAGTCTACAGCTCTGCCACCTGCGGGCCCCGTGACCGGCGGGAAGGCAAAGGCTCAATTTCCTCAGCTGGACAATGGGACTCAAAATAACCCCTTTTGCAGGGCCGCGGTGAGAATTAAACAGACTGTGAAAAAGAGATTTGCAACGTGTAAACGGGTTTGGAAGATGTGAGCGGAGTAAGCCTGTCGCTTGGGACCTGCCAGGCTCCTCCAGAAGAGACCTCAAAACTCTACCGCCCTGGTGGCGGTCCTCTGCACCCGTCGCTTTTAATCTTCTTGCCGAGAGGAGGAACTCCTTGGTGCCCCATTGTGCTGAACCGATTATAAAATGGACTGCCGAGGACCACGTGGAAACTTGCTAGCGGGCCCTGGAGATGGTGTTTGGGAAGACAGGGTCCCCCGCACTACCGTTTAGTGGTTAACTGTCAGGCGCTGGTATCTGAGAGCTTGAGTTCTTCACCATCTCCCAGTAATCTTCATCTTCCCCCAGTAATCTGGGAAAAAATTCCTTGATCTCACTTCTGCCTTTCTGCAAAATAGGGAGATCATCCCCAGCCTAGCAGTGAGCAGGAGAACTAACTAAATGAAATGTAGGCGACACGAAAATCTCTTTAAACTAGAACCTGGCGCCCAGTAAAAGTCAAAAAAAAAAAATGTTCAGTGAATTCTAAGGGTCCTTGGAGAATCATTTTCTTGGGCAAAACATCCAAGGATGAATAGACAAGTGGGGGAAATAACAAGAAAAGGAAGGGGAGAAGCTTTACAGAAGTTAAAAATAAATATATCTCTCCATGTACCTCTTTTCTTCACCTCCCTTCCCATAATCTGGGTCCAAAAATCTTCCTCCATCTTTCCTCCCCTCTTCTCTTTTCTTTCTGCATCACATTCAGTCTCGGACTTTTCAGAATTCTTCGAACTCTGCATTGTCTTTCAAGGGGGAAAAGAGTGCTTTAACCACGTCTTTATCCTTGAGCATTTAATTTTGGGTACTTTCCTCTCCCAAAGAATTTAGGTATTGTTTAGTCAATGTGTTTCTTAAAAATAATTTGTAAATGAAAAGGGCTTCTTGCACCTTGGTTATTATGCTTGACAGTTGCCTTCCCATAAAGCCTATAGATGTGTGACTTTGTATCTGAAGTTGTCACGTGTACAACCTGTCATTCTCCCTTCACCATTTCGGGATTTTCCTTCCCTTTCTGCTGAGGTGGCAGCTGGAGAACAAAGCCATGAGGATCTCTCCCAGGAGGCCTAGATATTAATGACCCCAGCAGCACTACTCTGTTACCAGCACCTCCTTTAAATTGAGCCGTGTAATCCTTCAGTATCTGCATCAGCAAAGGGCAGAGCGGTGCCATTCATTAGTACTCCCTGCCCACAGCAAGGCTCCTAAGGCCACGTAAACCCCGGGTAAGGAAAAGGACAGAAAAGGAAGATGTTGGAGCTGTTTTCAATTTTTAAAACATCCCGTTGAAACCCACTCAATTACATTTTCCATGTTTGAGGGAATTCAGATATAGATGGGAGTAGAAATATCAGTTTGCCACCTTCTCTATAAATGACAGTGTTTGGGAACCCTGACATCACCTCCTACATGGAAGAGACATTTGCATTCAGCTGCCCTGGGGGACCTGGTTTATTAAATCATATGGACTACACGCCACAAACAACTCTGTCTAAGAAGAAATTCTTTCTTGGTCCCAGAGGGCTCCTGCCGTCGATGGTTCACACCAGCTCATTTTTAACGCAGAATGGAGCAATGATTTCCAAAACTGGCTGCCCATTAAAATATTCTGAGAGAGTTTTTTAGATATGTAACAAGGCAAAGGCTTTCTGCTAGAGATTTCTACACCATCGGAGGGATTCTGGCTTGGGTGTTTTTTTAAAATATCCCCAGGTGATTAATTCTATGATGCAGCTAAAGTCAGGAATGGTTAGACTAGAAGCACTTCAGTAAGTTGGAGAAGAGTCCAGAAATAGGACTCCAAAAAAAAAAAAATAGTTGGAGCAAGTTGGTATTTAGCCTTCGAAAAGAGAAAACTTAGAAAGATATGCTACCAAGCTGAACCTCTTGTCTTCATATACAAGCTGTTAAAATCTTTTCAGTCCAACACTTGTGTGTTATTCTAGACAACTAATATGCAAAGCTATAAAAACACAGCCCTTTCTTCTTATGAGCCCACGGAACATGAAGTGTAAGCCGCTGGGTAAGACTCAGCTCTGGGTTAGACATACCTGCCTTAAATCACCCCCTGCCATGGATTAGACTCTGTGTCACATTAGTCTGGACATTTCAGATTCTCAGCTTCCTCATTCTGAAACTGGAGAAGATAACAATTGTTGTCATGAGGATTTAACAGAATAACATGGGAAATGTTGAGCTAATATATTGCCTGGCATGACATGAGTGCTCAATGAAGGCCACCGTGGACACATGGGCACTGCAGCATGCACCCAACTTATCTACCACTTTTCTAGCCACTAGCCTTCCTACCTGAAGTATGACCCCGCTGTCTCCTTCCAATCCTCACAATAAACTTTGAGTCTCCCAGGCAGCAGTAAGTGGATGTGACAACAGTAAGAGGCCACCTTTGTGCTTTTGAGCTTTCTAGCCTCTCTTAGTCTCCTCTAGGAACACTTATGGCAAAAGCGGAAGAGGTAAGGTATTCTGACATTTGCACGCATTTACCTAAATCTAGCTCACTGGTTCTCAAACATCAGCTTGAATTAGAACTACTCCGCAGGACTGAATACCAAAAAGTCAATATACTATAATCTGATAGGATTTTTAAAATGAATTTGACCTTAGGGAACTTTTTTCTTTTTTGTCTTATTGATTGTCGACTTAACACCCAACCCAAGTTAAAAGTTCTAAGGAATGGTGCATGCCTATAATCCCAGCAGCTTGGGAGGCTGAGGCAGGAGGATCATAAGATCAAAGCCACCCTCAGCAAGTTAGTGAAGCCCCAAGCAACTTAGTGATGAGACCCTGTCTCAAAATAAACCATAAAAAGGGCTGAGGATGTGGCTCAGTGGTTATGCACCTCTGAATTCAATCTCTGAAGAAGGAGAAGGAGAAGAAGAAAGGGGTGGGGGGTGTAGGAAGAGAGGAGGAGGAGGAAGTTCTATAGAGCCAAAGTAGTGTTTAAGCAACTTTGTGGATTTGTAGTATTACCATAACATTCACTGAATGCTCCCTATGTGTACAATGAACCTTATATACTTCACCCTGTTTGACTCTTAGAACAAACTTATTATTCCAGTTTACAGAGGAGAAAACTGAGGCTAAGGGAGATTAAGAAATTTGATCAAGGCCACACAAATAGTGGTTTATCAATCAGGTCTATTCAATTGTGATAAATGTAATAAAGTGACCATTTAGAAGAATATGAAAAAGATGTGGGGAAACCCTAAGGGATAGGGCAGACTTCCTGATTTGTTAACAGTGAGCCCCAGTACCCAGCCTGGACCTGAAGGGAAGTTATAGGAACCCAGAGGGGGTCCTGTATGCAGAATTCTTATAACATGAGCTGAGACCTTTATGGCCAAAGCAACCCAGTGGAAGGGAACCCGCAAGTACCATAATCCCAGTTTCCTCCTGTTCTTTGCCCTCCGGGGTTCCCTACTGGTCAAACCCAGCTGGAGGCTGAAGGACTGAAAACCCATTGAAACAATCCACAGGTGGCCCTTGCAACTCCCCTTACTGGAAATACACCAGGATGGGAAACAGTGGGGAAGGGGACTCTAGGGCCTATAACAGAGACCAGGGTTCAAGTGCAGGCCACCTTCCTGCAGGACCTTGCTTTTAACCTTTCCACTGTGTAACCTACAGAGATACTAATGTCGTCAATATTGGAAGACGTTGGCCCCATAACATGCAGGAACCTCTCCACCATGGGGTGCTCTGGCAGAGAAACAGACTTGGTCAGGACACTTACCAGAGATCAGAAAAGGATTTATTTAGACCACAGAAGAAGTGACTAGGTGGTGTCTGAAGTTCCAGTTCTAAATTCTGTAATTCTCAGTATTCTTCTCCAATTATTATGGGAACCTAGTTAAACCAAAGAGGAGACAAAATCTCTCTCTTCTTCCATTGTTTCAAATCCATGCCCTGCCTTGGTTCTCCCTCAGATGGCTTGA